TTTTGGTTATTTGAGAACATCTTACATTTTCGTCACTAAAACCAATAAAATCATAAACACCCTTATTCTATAATTTTCTTTTGAGGTTATACAGCCAGATTCCACTTACAATACTTGGTTTTTGCAATGCTATTTGATGCCTAATTATCACTCATATCTCTGTTCTCATTGCCTCACCCCATACAGTGGAGAATGGGTCCATTATGTCTATTGTAGCAGTTTTCACAGAGTTTTTTTTTTTTTTTTTTGAGACAAAGTCTTGGTCTGTTTCCCGGGCTAGAGTGCCGTGGCATCAGCCTAGCTCACAGCAACCTCAAACTCCTAAGCTCGGGTGATCCTCCTGCCTCAGCCTCCCGAGTAGCTGGGACTACAGGCATGTGCCACCATGCCCGGCTAATTTTTTCTATTTTTGGTAGAGACGGGATCTTGCTCTTGCTCAGGCTGGTCTCAAACTCCTGAGCTCAAATGATCCGCCTGCCTTGGCCTCCCAGAGTGCTAGGATTACAAGCGTGAGCCGCTGTGCCCAGCCCATCTCTAAGCTTTTATTTTGCCTTCAACTTAGTAAGATACTTCAGGATGAGAAATTCTAGGTTGACACTCTGTTCTTTCTGTACCTCGGTGATGTCTCTCCATTGTCTTGCGTCATGATAGCTTTAAGTCCGATGTCATTCTTACCTTTATTCCTGTGAACTCAATGTCTTTTTTGTTTTGTTTTCTGACAGCTTTTATTCTCTTTTCGCTGCCTTTTAGCAAGTTGATTATGATGTGCCTTAGCACAATTTTTATGTTTATCTTGGTTGGGGTTTTTTGATTTGTGGGTTTATAGTTTATATTAAATTGGGAAATCTTTTAGCTGTTATGTTTTCAAATATTTTTTCTGTTCCCCTTCTGCTCTCTTTATGGGATTACAGTTATACCTATGTTAGATTGCTTGATATTTTCCCACAAGCCACTGAATACCATGTTTATTTTTTTCAGATTTTGTCCTTTTTCATTTTGAATAATTTTTATTACTATGTCTTCCAATATTGTTCTTTACTTTTACAGTGTCTAATTTGTTGTTAATCCCAACCAGCATATTTTTCATTTCATATACTTTATTTTTTATCTTTATAAGTCCCATTTGGGTCTTTTTATATCTTCCATTTCTCTCCTTATCATGATAATGTTTTCTTCTACCTCCCTGAACATCTAGAACACGTTTATAATAGGTATTGATTTAATAAGCCTTAGTCTTTTGGTTCCATCATCTCTGACATTTTGGGGTCTCTTTGTATTGATTTTTTTCTTGGGAATGGATCAGTTGCCCACCTTCTTTGCATTCCTAGTAGTTTTTTTGATTGGAGCTAGATATTGTGAATTTTATGTTGTTGGTTGCTGGGTTTTGTTGTATTCCTTTAAATAGTGTTGAATGTTTTTTTTTTTTTTCTGGTGCATAGTTAAGTCTGATCCTTTGGAAGGGCTGGTCCAGAGCAGTCTTTATTCTAGGCTGCCCACTAGTAGGGCAATATCCTTTTTGAGGGTTCTACCCAATGCTCTGTATGTTATAAGATCTTTCTATGCTGGCTGGTAGGAATACAGACTGTTCCCAGCCGTATGCAGACCCTGGGAATTTCTGTTTGCTTATTTGCAGTGGCGCTCTCTCTCAACTCAGATAGTTTCTTCTCACATATATGCAGATAAGTACTCGGTCAAAGACTGTAGGCCATTCTGGAGACTTCCAGATCTCTCTGTGCAGGGGCCCCCTCGCTAATATTTTGCCCTGCAAATTATAGTTACTTTTGCCCCTCAAACTCTAAGCTCTGTCTTCTCCAGCTCAGCAAGACTGCTGAGCTTGGTTTGAATCCTTCCCCCCCCCCTTTTTTTTTTGCTATGGCCTGGGAACCGCCTCCGCAGGGTAAGCTGGTATCACCTAAGGCGTACCTTATTTGTTGTTTTTCACAGGAATCGCAGTCCTATGCTGCCTGTGTACCGGTGTGTGAAAGCCATCATTCCATGTCTTCTGTCCAGCTTTCTGGTCGTTTTTAAGTAAAAAGGGAAATCTAGTCTCTGTTACTCTATCCTGATTGGGAGCAGAATTCAAACCTTCTTTAGTCACTCTCAATCGTTTTTGTTTTTTTTTTCTAGTAGAAAAATGACTCCTGGAGATGATAACTTATAGTTAACATAGCAGACCTTTTAAAAATCACACTTTAGGCTGGCTCTGGGAGGCCAAGGTGGGTGGATCACTCAAGGTCAGGAGTTCAGAACCAGCCTGAGCAAGAGCGAGACCCTGTCTCTACTATAAATAGAAAGAAATTAATTGGCCAACTAAAAATATATAGAAAAAATAAATTAGCTGGGCATGGTGGCGCATGCCTGTAGTCCCAGTACTCGAGAGGCTGAGGCAGAAGGATCGCTTGAGCCCAGGAGTTGGAGGTTGCTGTGAGCTAGGCTGACACCATGGCACTCTAGCCTGGGCAACAGAGTGAGACTCTGTCTCAAAAAAAAAAAAAAAATCACACTTTAATGAAAATTGAACTTTCTGATACAGTTAAATATTGTAAATATTATATTGCAAGCAACAATGGTAGATAATATATTAAACATTCCAAATAATGCTTTTAATATACCAGGGAAAAAAACTATAGCATAATACCAAAAAACTGTAAAATGGCCCCTCTAACATCTCTCCACCAAGACCATGGTCCCAGAAGGTGATAGTTTCTTTCCTCACCTTTGAACCTTGTAGCCAGTTAAATACTACTTAGCTGTAAAGTTATATAAATTTTGTCCTAATTTTTCCTCGACTAGAACTTATTTTGTAGTTTTGTGGATGTGACAGAACTGTGAAACTTCGGACAGAACTGTGAAACTTCAGAGCAGAAAGGAAACTGAGAGGTGACCTGGCGCAGTCTTGTCCGTTCGCAGGTGGCGGAACTGAGCCAGAGAGGAGGTGGCCTGGGGGCCGTCCCCTCTCTCTAGGGCCACGCTGCCCCCCACCCCAAAACTGCCATCGCCCCGTGGTATCTTGTCAGAGGGAGACGGTGGGATAGAAATTCAAAGGCCAAAATGATCAGTTCTCTGATACGATTGGAATTTCATTTCAGTATTTTTATGTATAGGGTTTTTTTTTACATTCATTACACAAACAAAAATTGTTTTGTGGCTTCCTTCAAATAAAACAGCCATTTCTCCTTGGTTCCTTTTTTTTTTTTCCTTCTTCTTTTTTTAAAAAGGACCTAATGAGAACAAGAAGATCGGCTGAAGAGAATGAGCTAAAAGACAGACCATAGGACTCTTTCATTGGCCCGAGAGACGTTAGTCAGCGCCAGGCCATCGGGTCTCCCCGTTCTCCGCGCTCGCCCTTCGTGGGAAGGGGGTGTGGGGTCGAGCGAGGCCTGCTTGCAGCTGCCCCGGGCGAGGGCAGAGCCCGAGGGTTTGCAGTGCTGTTCTTGGGATGTTGCCCAGCATCGCAGTCCTGCCCTGGTGCAGAAGGGCCAGACTTCCAGTGAGAAGTTTTGTTGGCTCAGTTCTAAGAGCATGATTAAACTCCTATTCAAACAACGGATTTGCTATATTTTCCATTTTATAAACTGAGCCACAGTATGTAAGATGTGAGTCCTTTAGAGCCACCTCATTTTACCTTTTGTTGACTTAGGTAGTTGTGGAAAGGGACAGCGTTTTCTCTGTGTCTGTGTTTTGTAGTCTCTGTGGTCTCAGTTGAGAATGTCGACTGAGAGGTCTTGTCCTTACGTCTTCTGATTTCACGTACCAATTTCTGACTTGGTCGTCACCATTTATGTTTGGAATCATGATTATTTATATATTGTTTCTTGACTCCAGCTGGTCTCGCTCTAAAATCTTGTGGATTTCTTTTTCCTGCTGAATTTATAATTTTAATAATGCAAGGTTCCTCTTTTCACATAAAAGTCTCAAGCTGTTAAAATTTGGTGAAAATTGGAAATAGATTGTCCGAAACACGGGCCTCCTATGTAGCACATCTGGATACCTAGATGTTTAACACATTAACTGCCATGTGAGTTGTATTTAACTCACGCTAGTTTTGAGCCCGGGGCCTTGTGAAGCGTATGTAACTTACACGTCTCTTTCCCTTGAGCCGAGTGAACTGTTTTTCAAGTTGCATATAACTCACATGTAGAAAATAATAAAAAAAAACCCACATTTTTTATTAAATTAGAAAGGATCGGTTTTTTTTGTTTTTTTTTTTTAATTTAATAAGCTTCTGTAGATGGATCGTTTTATTTTTGAAGTTTTTATTCTATTTTTGTAACAAAACACTGCAGCCCCAGGGGAAAAAAATTTTATTTTTTTTGTGTAGCAGTTGATGTGTTAAAAATTTATTTTTGTAATATCAGTTTTACATTTACATATTTACAATTAACTCTTTATTTTGTTTCAGTTATGGTATAAGTCATTTGTGCCACCTAAGGAAATAATGCTTAATTGTCACAACATCTTATAGGAGGACATACTGAAACAATATTATTATTATTTTTTAGACAGAGTCTCACTTTGTTGCCCAGGCTAGAGTGCCGTGGCGTCAGCCTAGCTCACAGCAACTTCAAACTCCTGGGCTCAAGTGATCCTCCTGCCTCAGCCTCCCAAGTAGCTGGGACTATAGGCATGTGCCACCATGCCCGGCTAATTTTTTGCATACACATTTTTAGTTGGCCAATTCATTTCTTTGTATTTTTAGTAGAGACGGGGTCTCACTCTTGCTCAGGCTGCTTTTGAACTCCTGACCTTGAGCAGTCCTCCTACCTCGGCCTCCCAGAGTGCTAGGATTACAGGCGTGAGCCACCGCGCCCGGCCTGAAACAATATTTTATAAACAAAGGAACTATTTCTTTTTTCTATTAGATCTCCAAGTCAGACCTTAATAAAATTTTATCACTTCTTAGAATATTCAGAGTAGGATTCTTTGGTTTTGCTGCTATGCTATTAGAGACCTGATACCATTCTGTCACTTCTGTTTTTAATCTATATTTGGGAGGGCAACCAGGTAGAGTCTAGTTACGTATTATGGGGGCTGGGTATGTCTTTGGTGTATAGAACCTGTTTACTTCCTGTCTTTATTTGAAAAATGACACATTTTTTAATTTATCTCTTAGAAAATTAAATTTTTTGAAATACATATGTGCATATTTTGGGTCAAGAGATGGGTAGGGAGAAAAGTTTCACTTTCTTCTCCTTTAACTTTGCTGGGCCTTCTGGAGACGCCGATTGGCTCTTGGCAGGCTGTCTCGGGGTCCCTTCTGCTTAGAGTCTGGCCGTGGGGTGCAGAAATCTATTGGTCTGGCCCTTGTTCTTTGGTGCCACTCGAGCACAGGGTCACGGGATTGGTGTTTGGTGGTGTACTATTTCAATTTCTTGTAAAGAGCTTTTGGATGTCTTTACTCCTTGAATTTGTTAAGGTGATTTTTTAATGCCCATAATGTTGACGCCTGATAGCATCCTGGGAGATTCATTTCACTTTTAAACTGGGATCCCCTTTGCGGAGAATGCCATTAGGGTCATTGTCATCCGAGAAACCCCTGGGAGTGCCTCCATTCAGTTGGATGTGCAGGAGATGTTTGCTTGTGGGATCCCTCGCCCGTGTTGTTCCCAGGCATTTTGAGTGTCTCTAGTGACGGTCATTTGCACTCAGCTGCAAGCCCACCCCTAGGCCGTGCTGGCTGTACTGTGAGTGCATCCGTAATGTCTCTCTCTTGTTTGCTAGGCGGAAGATGGTGTCAGTGCTTGCGGGCTGCCGGCTGGCACCCTTGCCGAGCAGGAGTCAGTGAGTGAGTGCTGCCCAGCTTCCCCGTCCCGTGAGTCCGATGCCCCTCCGTGTTCTGGCGTGCCCGCCAGACATGCGCACCCAGACCCTCCGTGATCACCCGTTTGTCAGATGATTATGTCGTTGCGAAGAGTCTGTCCAGGTCCTCTGTATCTTTTTTTGTCACCATAGTGTATGTCCATTGTGATGGGGACGTAGGCACCGGTGGCGGCGGCAGAAGGCACACACACATCACGGCAGGACTCGCGATGTGGGGGTTTAGCGGCTGGTCACAAACTCTGCGAAAGGAAAGCTTTCCCAGGGCGCCAGTGTCGTCAGCCCGGCGCTGCACGAGCTGCCACTCGGCAGAGGGGCTCTGGCCCGGTCCCGTGGGGCCGTTTCTCAGCGGCTCACCCGTTTTTCTTGTGCATTGCTTCGTAGTGCGGCGTGCCGCTGCCATGTGCACACCTGTGTCGCGGGGGAAGAGGAGGGTTCCCATTTCCTTTCATCCTGCATCACAGAAGCGTAGGCCCTTAGGACGCACCAGACCCACGGGTGTCATTGGTGAGAGGCAGGCGGTCCCTGGAGCACCTCTTTCCCCGTTCCTCTCCGCTGGGGGCGAGGACTGCGCCCCGGGCAGGACGACACGTGTGGCCCAGGCCCAGGCAGAGAGCGCTGTGGGAAGGAGACCCTCCAGTGTGTGTAGAACGGTGGAATCGGGAGACCCCTGCCCTCAGCAGACTTACGTCGTGTGATTTCTAACGCAGGGGGGTGACACGGAGCCAGCTGACCTGTTCTGTCCGTGACTAGCGCTCGTACCCACGACTGGCCCCAAAGATCCACTGCGCATCTTCCTTAAGCAGCGTCTTTCTGCATCTTCATCTGCCTTGTTTGCTGCTGTCGAGAGAGGCCCCGATGTTTGCTGCGTGTTGTTTAAGTCCCAGCTCAGTGTCACGGCTAGAAACTCTTTCTGTACTAAAGAGCACCTCACTGTTAGCGTCCTTGTGCTAACAGTTAATTTTATCAGGGGGCGTGTGTGACCACACACGTGGCTGACGGCGATCACGCGCCATCCTTGAATTGGAGCGTTTAGATTCCACGCCGCTGGGACAGCAGGCGCTTTCCTCCCTCTGTAGCCAAGCACTTTTGCACGTTTCCGCTGTAGTTACGTTGCCACGTGGAGGCTAGCTCGGGATGTGTAAGGCTGTGGTCCCCAACCCCCGGGTGGTGGCTGTTAGGGACCAGGCTGCAGCTGCTGGCGCGGCTGCCTGAGCCCCGCCTCCCCCGGCCTGCCCCCCAGGCTGGGGAAATGGTCTTCCACGAAAGCAGTCCCTGGTGCCAAAAGGTTGGGGGCCGCTGCTGTTAGGTGCACTTGCAGTCCCGGCCCTCTGTTCCTTTCCAAAGAAACTGCCCACTTGTACTTCTGGAATGGAAACAGATAAGGCTGGAAATGAGAAAGTAGGATCCTAACTGCAGATATAAGTGGAATGAGCTTAATCTGCCCACATTTAGGTTTACATGCTCTTTTTTTTACTGGTTCCCTTTTGAAATGTTATCTTTCAGTTGGTTACTGATTAGGGGCATTCTGCTAGGAAATTCACATCTCAGAAACCCAAGGTGAGGAGGGCTGCTGTGTAGATAGAACTGCTTTCCCCCAAAGTGGGTAGATGGGTATATCCTCTGATTTGGAGAAAATCTCCAGAGCCCCAACGTTTATTATGAGCTGAACTTAATTCCAACATGCTTAGGTACAAGAAAAAAATTGATCAATGACACCAAACTGTTGGAAACATCATTTTTATTAAGGAAACCTGATTCCTAAGCATGGGAGTCAAACCCTTTACACTTTATTAAGTCATGAACTTTAGGGTCAACAATTATGATTTTGATAATTATCAAAAATGTCAAGCAAGTAATTGAGTTATAGATTTGTATTTATCCCATGAAATGATTGTAGATACTACATAACTGATTTTGTATTAAGGTGATCATTCGAGTGACACGAATCTTTCTCACAGTGAGTTTATATATTACCGAAATGACCAAGCCTTCCCTTGTATTTGATGACCTCCCGTCCCTGCCCCCCTCCCCAGTCTCGATTCAGGGTTTTTATGGTGTGTGATAAATGAGCTGTTTACTAATTTGTTGTTGAAGTAAAATACCAAATTTGGATTACTGGAATTTATTATTTGGGGGCACCTGGCTCATCCTTGTTTTTGTTTGTTAAACAGGAGAAGGACCAGCGCAGCCTAGACATAAACACTGCCAAGTGCATGTTGGGACTGTTATTAGGAAAAATCTGGCCCCTTTTTCCAGTTTTTCACCAATTCTTAGAGGTACCAAATTGTTGTTTTATGAAATGTGTGTTTGCTTGCTTAGAACTACCAAATATACTTTATTTAACCATTTTATGTACTTTTTTGTTTGTTGTACTTTTCTGCCTGTAGGAATTTTGGTGACATAATTGCTGTCAGTCAGCAACTGCCTGTCTTCTTGGAGTGCATCTGTGTATGCGTTCAGTGTTGTGTTGCCTCAGCCCACATTACAAATGCATCAGGAACAGCCACGGCTCTGTCCTTTCCTCTCCTTTCTTGTCCCCATTTTAAAAGCTTCACTTTTGTTTAGATTTCCTGCTCTTTATAACAATAGAAAAATAAGATTTACTTTCTTTTGACTTTATATGAATTTCCACTTTTATTAAGCAAAGGCTAAAAAACAGCCATCTGCCTTCTTGCCAAAACTAGTTTGCAATCTACTTAGTTACAATCCTACTTTGCTTTATCTACTCTTATCTCTAAAAGTGACAGGAGGACCTTAAGGATCAAGCTAAGTATTAGGCAAACTGACCATATCCCCATCAGTTTAAATTGCTTTCAGATCTATATCAGAAGCGATGCAGCATTTTCATCCCATCATTGTTGGTTGTTTGCCTTAAGTATTGCTGATCAGAAATTTTGAACTGGTTATCAGGAGCTGGTTTTGTTGGAACGTCATCCGGCAGGGGCTGGTAGCATCTGGGATGTACACGTGACTTGCTTGGGTTGTCATATACGGCATCCTCCTTGGCCTCCTGCCCCAAACCCCGTTAAAAAACAAATGTCCTTGGCTTGCACGGACGAGGACGTTGGGTCTTTGAGGAAATCTGGACCTTACCCTGACTCCAGCTGCACTCTTGAAATCATCTTTCTTACAGCTTACTTTATGTCACAGTCCAGAGAAACTGACATGATTCTTTGAGCACTGCTATTAAAAGTTCTTTTAACATTACCAACAGGGACCCCTCGAGAACGTTACAAAAACTGGTTTGAATATAAGAAGTGTTCGTTTATCTGATGATCTGTGTCTACATTTGATCTGTTCTGATTGCCCTCATTACCCCATGAGATGCGTTAGCACTATTTGGAAAATAAACGGAAGGTAGCTACTTGTTCTTGGAGGATGAAGCAGGACTTGCGCTTGAATGTAAAGAGCTTTGACGCCGGAAAGACTTGGTGGTGAGGCTATTCAGCTTCGCATGATTCCAGGCTCCTCATCAGCTGTTTCAAGACTGGCCTTTGCTTTTCGTTGCTCAGAAAGTTAGACTTGTAGTCTGTGTTTTGTTCCCTCTCTTCTATTAGTTTGCAGTTTTCTTTTAAAAGGAGATAGTAATCCTTCCATTTCAACTTTCCTTGCGTTTGCATCCTCAAAACCATTGGCTCAACTCTCTTTGCTTTTTATGTACTTGTATCATTGTACTATGTTCCCGATTTTAGCGGTGAGGATTTAAAAGTTGTTGCTCTTGGATTTTATCTTTAAATCTTTATACAAGGATACCAGATTTTCAGATATATATATATACACACACATGCCATATTTCTTGTCTAAGAGGAATAGAAAAACTATTTCACAGCTATTCCAGTTTCTTTTATGATCAGATTCAAGTTGTGAATTATTAGAACAGCAGTTTTCTCCAGTGACAAGAGCCACCCAGGTTTGAGACCGCTCGAGGCACTTAGCAGTTCTCATGGTGGGACCTGCTGGTGCCCGTGACCTGCTGGTGCACGTGACCTGCTGGTGCACGTGACCTGCTGGTGCCCGTGACCTGCTGGTGCCCGTGACCTGCTGGTGCCCGTGCTCGTGCTCTAAGGTGACAGACAGCCCGGCCATGGGCAGTACTGAGTATGTCATGGACCATTAACGGGGCCCCTCTTTAGTTAGCACTTACTTTGTATCAAGCACGGCATGAAGTGCTTTACATAAACTATGTGAATTATCTCTTCTAATCCTTACAACGTCTCCCCATTTCATATAAAAGGTATTATCCGCATTTTATAAAGAAGGACTTTGGCAGTCTAGGAGCTTCACTTCTGGGGCTATACAATCATGTTCCTTTGATGTGCTTGCCATTTTGTGTCGAGTTGCAGTGAAAACTGTCATCTTAAATTCTACTCTTGCTCTCTCCGTCACCATCCTCCTCCTAGATCGGTGCCTAACACAGCTCAAATGGAAAGAGTTCACCTTCCGCGAACTGTATTTAGTTGACGCGTACAGCAATTGAAACCATCGCGCTTGTGCCTTTTAAGTGTCAGTAATTCATATCACTTTTCCTTCCATCAGCAATCAAAATACAAAGTTATTAATAAAGACCAGTGGTGCAATGTCCTAGAGTTTAGCAGAACGATTAACCTTGACCTCAGCAACTACGACGAAGACGGCGCGTGTAAGTACCGGCGCCACTCGCGCCCCGTCGCGAATGCTTGTCGTGTCTCCTCCCCGGGACAAGCCCCGAGCCACGTTGTCTTCTCTCTCCTCCTCCGCAGGGCCAGTTTTGTTGGACGAGTTCGTGGAGTGGTATAAAGACAAACAGATGTCCTAGGACGGTCTGCACGGCAGCGAGAGAGTCACTGTTACCAGTTCTGTCACCCATTAGCCATAAATTGCTGTTTGTACCCAAGCGCATGCTGCTTTTCTTGCACTGTCTCCCCTCGCAGGGACGTTTTGGTGTTTGCTAGCGAACGGGCCAGCTCTGCTTGCTGTGTGGCATTGTTCTCTTGGAAGGCTGCCTTTGCGGCCTGTATTTACACTACAGATTGGTGAACTTGCCAACGTCCTCACTGTGATGATCTGTATATTGCTGTTTAAATTTTGTATATGTGTATAAAAAGAAAAAGCTTCACCTAGAGATTATTTCTTCAAAAATGTATTGTAAAAATAATTTTGTGGCATATTTCTAGTCCCTTTTTTCAAACGAACCAATCATCCTCTATCCGGTCTCAAACGTAGCATCTCAGCGAAGAAGACAAAACAACTGTTACCTGAGTAAACATTGCCAGAGTTAACCTTACTGTCCGAGAGGCCAACTTTTTGGTAGGAGGTGGGAGTCTTCACTTTTCAGAGGCAAATGCCAAATGTAATTTGGTTTACTCAACAATATTAGCGTTTTAAAATGGCGAAAGTTATAATTATTTCAGCATGTAGACATGGTGACATGCCACAAATCATTTCTACCATGCAAGGTATAGTTTTTTTGTTTTTTAATGGTAAAACTATAGTAGCTTGAATATAGGTACAAATGAACAAATTCAAATTGCACCTTTTTTTTTTTTAATGGGGTTTAAATTCCTGTAAACATTCTTTAATGGTTTTTCTCTTTTTCTTTTTTTCCCCTTTTGCCTTCTTCTAGCCAGTGTCTGCTCCGCTGGTGCTCTGTGCCACTCTGCGTAAAGTCATTTTGCCTCCTCGTGAAAACCTCATGGTTTGCTGGCAATTTATAAATGCAAAGCACTTTTAGTGGCGGTTTGAATTTTTAGTTCAGCTTTTATGGTGTCTAATTTCTAGTTTTTTGAAAAAAGAACCATACTACGAGTGAGAGGTGTTTTGTTTTGTTCTGTTTTGTTTTCCTTGTTCGTTTCTGTCACGCTGGGCTTTTCCTGGCAGCAAGTCCATTGCAGGCAGTGGACACGTAACCACCAGCATCGAGATGACCCAGTTCTTGCTAGGACCTGTCTTGGAGGGGCCACTTGTCATTACCCGAGTCATTTGTACAGAAGGGGGACAGCCATTATTTATGTGGATGAGGAAACAAGAGTATACAAGATGGTGTTTTTAGGTTTGTATTTTATGTCTTTCTCCTTTTTTGGCCTTACCCTTCTTGAGGAAATGTAGAGATAACATGTTTTCACCCCAACTACCTGGTGCTATTGAATGATACTGATTCAGTCCCTAAAGTTCTGTGAAAACACAACAGTCTAATGATTTGACCAAATAAAGAGCTAATGGTGCGTTTGAACGAGTGGATGCTGTAGTTGTCAACAAGATCCTTGATTGAGCACGTGATGATTGGAGGAAGTTTGGATTTTTTGGAAATCTGGCCAAGAAATCTTCTGGATGACATGTGAGCCTTTCAATGGCATTAACTGAGTAAAGCACACAGACAATGCTACTCTTGACCACTGTTACGGTTTCTTTGCAAACAGTGTTCAGATTTTCATATTATTTTTTTTTCCCTAACTGAACCACCAAAGACAGAAATTTTGTATGTATATACAGTGTGTGTGCATATACAAAATCATGATATGGTAGAATGCAACTACTTTTTTTTTTTTTTTTTCCTACCAAATAGAAAGATTTGGTTTGCTGTGAAATAAACCAGAAGTTTTAAAAACTCTGTAGTGATTAAGCATACTTAACCATTCCTTGTCTGTAGACTGACTTTTAACCTTACAAATTAATACCAGTTTGCAGAAATTAATATCTGAAAAGAGCAGAAAGTGTTGATGGCAAGCAACAGCCAGCGAGACTCGCGTAGCGGATGCGTGTGTATTGCAGTGGTTGGTGACTGGCTGTAGGCAGGCTGGCATCTGTAGAGAAGTGATTCATTTTTTAAAAGTCCCCCCATAAAGTTTAAAAATATATATATATATCACACTCTAAAGGCAATGGTTTTAAATTTGATCAACTGTAGTTTTGTTTAAAGCAAATACAAATCATAGGTAAAATTATTTTAAATGTTATGTTAGAATCTGGAGAATTTTTTTTTCAACACTGAGCACAGTTAATCCTCAGATGAAAGAATTGTTACAAGGGGAGATGTTCCATTTCATCCACAGTGAACATTTTGATGACGGGAGAAAAACTCAAGTGAAAGCTATTTCACGATGTGTGATGTGAAAGTGAGTATTCCAAAGAGATAATCTCGCATATTTAGACAACTCCAAATAATCCTTCAGCTGCCTTGAAAAATAAACCTCTGTGACTACTGATGGCAGATTGCTTGCCCTTGGTTTTCTTGATTCTATGTAGTTGTTTTTAAGGGGAGAAAAAAAGAGTTGGACAGAATATTAAGATGCATTTTCTTAGGAATTGTCCTAAGTTACACAAAAAGCTGAACCGTCACCGACAGCTTATCTACTTGCTAGTGTTAAGTAAATTAGGGTGCCTTCTGCTGGTTTTTCTTCAGTACTGAAGTCTACACCCTCTCTCTCCATTGTGTTCTGAACGCCACGTGGCAATACTCTGTCGTAATGGAGTACAACTTCTAGATGTTCGCTGCTGCGGTAGGTCATACATTTCATTATTTGATTTGCCACAAATGTCCACCGTAATATTACGTGCACCTTCTTTGAAGCATGAACTCTCAATTACATTTTTATAAATCCGACTAGACAAACCTCTAGATTCTGGCTTAACAACAGATTTCTTTTGCCTCTCGGTCTCAATTTTAACAGTGCTTTTGAAGTTTATACAGAAAGCTTTAAAAGTTAGTTTGTGCCCTTGGTTTTTGTTCTCACAACTGCTAAAATACCTCTGTAAGCCTTATCCTTTTATTCTTTCGAATGTTGTATAATAAATGTATAGAATTCATTGACCAACTAAAATGTTGGGTGTCTGTAAATGAGACCAAAATGTGGGTTGCTTTTTTTCATAAAGTAATTTCTATTGAGGGTTACTGTTAAATGAACAGCAGCTAACCTGTAACTGTGAATGCTTCGTGTCGTCAGTATTTGCATTACATTCATAAAAGTGTGCAAGTCCTGTGACTCCCAGCTTAACTAAAATGATGTTATTATGCCACCTAACTTGAGTACAGCAAACTGGTTTTAGGTTTTAATGGAATCGATGTAAAATGATAGCCCATAAATAAAAAGTATTTGTGTTTGGTTTCAGAACTGATTTGTAAATTCTTTCTTCTCTTTCTTTTTAAAAGCATTTAAAGTACTTTTTGTTTGTTTGTTTTTTCCCAACTTTTTCTGTTGAAAATTTTCAAGGCTACAGAAAAAAAAAAAAGCAAGAATAATATAATGAACACCTTTATACCTGTCACTTAGATTTTCCAGTTGCTAATATTCTATCACATCACCTGCCCCACTCTGTGTATGTGGTTCTTGCTCTCTAGATATACTTTTTTCTAAATGATTTGAGAGGAAATTACATTATGACACTTTACAACTGATATTTGAGAATATGGACATTCTCCTATAACCTCAATACAAGGAACACAAGTTTTACCAAGGATATGTGCACAAGGAAAGAAACTAAAGAGAAAAAAGATAAATATAAAAGAAAAGAAAGAAAAAAAAGGAACACAAGTTTAACAGTGATACAATACTATTATTTTATATACAGCCCAGGTGAAAAATCTCCCCATTTGTACCAATAGTCTTGACAGCTATTTTTAATCCAGGAATAAGCATTTCATTTAATTGTCATACTTCGCCAGTCTCTTTTAATCTAGAAAACACTTCCAGATAGAGTATTACAAATGTTTTGATTAAAGATAGTTACAAACACTCCTCAGCCAAAATAGTGATTTTCAGAAATTTACTGCCATGTATTGTGTGTTTCTAAACATTGAGCTAATATGGGGTGCTTACTGCACACCAAGAACCAGGCGGAAATGACCGTTGTTACTACCCCCGGGGCTGCCACCCAGTTAGTCTGTAAGCACGCATCCGCCCTGGCTGCAGCGCTCTGAAGTGTCTCACGCTGGAGTGTGGGCTTCCCGAGGGCAGGACCTCTGGCACTTCCTGGATGGCCAGAAAACACCTGTGGGAGGAAGCAAGTGACAGAGTTCCCTCTCTGGGCAAAGAAGTGTCAGGACCTAAGTAACGTCATGTGAAGATTAGAAAACCCGGGAAGAGCTGATGCTGACTTTACGATTTTTAGAAGCTGGAAAGCAAGAGAGGAGGAAGTAGAAAACAAGATTCCTAAGAAGCAGAATCCCAAACCCAGGTGCCTGCTATTTACGTCGGCGACATAGATGGTTCTTTCAACTGTGATTTGCGCCAAAAGCTGAGGATCAAACCAAGAAAATCTCGATTCTTCCAGACACCCAGAGAGAGAGGGGACAGCAGGTGAGGTAAAGGACGAAGCTTACTGTCAGATGGATGAGAAGGACTGGGACATGGCAAGCCTTAGCAGGCAGCAGAAAGTCACGAAGCACGTCACCCAGCGACGGAAGAGTGCGTTCCGCTGGACAAGACTAGCAGCACGTGCACAGTAAGAGGAAATGACAAAGTTCTCCAGCAGTGGAACTGGAGCAAGGTTGACTGGGGAGAGAAGAAATCACTGATGCCTACTCTGGACAAACCCGGTTGGTGTGCACTGCAGACGTACCCAGGAAGGAAGGAAGGTACGGGACTTCTTTAAGCTCTTTGAAATGATGGGATAGAGGAAAAAATGAAAAATAAAATTATCCACAGGAAAAAAAAAAAATGGAAGATGATCAGGTCTACCCAGGGCTGCAGAAGTGAGGAGGAAAATTGCCTCTTTCGGGACAGCAGTTTTCTTGATTAGTTTGAATCCACGCGAGGACATGGGTTTCCAGGGCTGCTGTCCCATGTGTCGTATCACACCGGAGTGACTCATCGGAACATCTCCAGATCCTTGTGTGTAGTGTAGCTTCTTTGCAGAGGATGGGAGAAGAGCTTTCACGATTCCTTTAGAAAAGAATTGACTTTGGAACTTTGTTATAGCTAGATGAGAGGGAAACCCAATCATGTGAGGGAATAAGACATCAAGCTTTCTGGCCCTCTTTTTTTTTTTTTTTTTTTTTTTTTTTTTTTTTTGAGATGGAGTCTCACTCTGTGCCCAGCGCTAGGTGGTGCGCGTGGGTCAGCCTAAGCTCACACAACCTCCAACTCCTGGGCTCAAGCGTCTCCTGCTCAGCCCTAACCGAATAGCTGGGATGGCATGGCGCACGTGCCGCTAATTTTTCTATATATTAGTTGCAATTAAATTCTCTTTATTTACTAGTTAATGATGGGTCTCCCTCTTTCTCGGCTGGTTTCTGACTCAAGCACCTCGCGCCCTCGGAGGTTCGGCGTGAGCACCGCGCGGCTCTTGCCCTTTCCTAAGCTTGTAAAGCAGAAGATAATCCAAAATACGGCGCGTTCACCACGTTTGGCACGTTCAGCAGTAAAATGTTTAGTTTTTTCTCCCTGCCTGAGTTTGTTTCTTGCATGTATCTCCAATTGCCTTAACAAAAAATCATCCCATGTATAGAAGTCCTTGCTTAGAAATCATGGAGAGTAAGTAGGCTATGCTGGGAATAATGGAAACTGAAAAACAAAAATTGACTATGGTAATCAAGTGGGAAGTTTTTAAAACATCATTTAAAATGTAGAATCTCTTCTCGAGAGGAAATGTATTCCGTCCTTTGAAAGAAATCCCTTTGCAATCACTCTCTGAAGAATATGGATTGCGAAGAATCCTGGCTAAGGAAAAGCAAGCCGTAGAGGGTTCGTCGTTTTCTTTTTTGCCTCTGATGCTTTGCAGTAGAGACGTCCTAGAATCGCCTACATTTGAATATCTAAAATTACAAACCAGGGTTCTCTAGAAATCTTAGGGTACACGCGGTGGTAAAGAGGATGGCCCCTGTACTCTTAGTTCACATTCAACGTGTCACTTGTCACAAGTGACAGCTGAGTGTGGCCCTGACATCGTGCAAGTTGCTCTCGGCCCCCCCAGGCCCTGCCCCGTGAGAGCCGGGCACTCAGTCCCAGCGCTGCGGTGGGGAGACTGGGAGGAGAGGGAACGTGGCTCCAAGGGCAGAGGGAAGGCCCAGAGCCGCCGGGCAGTCTGGCCGAGGCCGTCGGGAGCGGCCCCAGCAGGCAGGAGAGCAGAGGGTGGGCCCTGCAGGCTTACCGTTCGCCAGGCACTCGATCACTGCGTACTGTGTGCCAGGCACAGTGTTGGGGTCTACCTAGGAGTTGGGGTCCCCCCTCTTAAGCTCAGACTCGTGGAGGAGATCTGAGAACCACTGTGCCTGGGAAGTCAGGCTTGGGCATTCAGAGGGTGCTGCGGGGGCAAGGTGGTGGGTTGCATTAGGATCCTCCAGAGTTACAGAAGCATAGGGGCGCATGCGTGGGCGCACGTGTGTGCGTGTGTGTGCGCGTGTGTGTGTGCGTGTGTGTGTGTGTGTGTGTGTGCGCACGCATTTGCTTATGTATGTTTTATATATACACGCGAGGGGTGGATTTGTTAAGGAGTTAGCTCACGCGATCCTGGAGGCTGAGCAGTTCAAAACTGCAGTCCAGTTTCCACCCAGCAGAGCCGATGCGGAGTTCCATGGAAGTCTGAATCCGAAGGTCTGGGAACCGGGAACGCTAATAGTGTGACTTTCAGCCGGGGCCTGCGGGCCCGAGAGCCAGGACAGCCAGTGGGACAGCTCCAGTCCAAGAGCCAGCAGACTCAAGACCCTGAAAGGGCTGACGTCTCAGTCCGAGCGTGACGGCTGGAAAAGACCGAGGCTCCAGCTCCTGCAGCCGGGCAAGAGGAGTCCCCGCTTCGCCTTTTTGTCCTATTCAGGTCTCCAGTGGGACGGACGAGGCCACCGCGCCGGGGAGCGCAGTCTACTTACACGCCTGCTCTCCGCCCATCGGAGAGCGCAGCGTGCAGAGCCAGCAGCTAGCTAGAAATCCAACGACGGGCAGGGCAGGGCGGGCTGCGCCTTGAGCACGTGCTTGCCCAGGGCAGGGGCTGCTAGATGCCACCGGGGTGGGTCAGAAGCATTCCGCTGCAGTGATTCGTGAACTGCCAGGGGCAGGGCGGGAGCCAGCATAATGGCACGGGAGCCCGGAAGCCTCGGAGTGTGCACCCACCTGCGGAAACCCACCCGGTTCCCAAGAAAGACCCAGGGCAGGGTGAGGGTGGTTTTTTGCATCGTGGCCGGGGAGCACTGCGTGCAGGAGTCTGTCTGCCCCCGTCGCAGCCAGCTGCCCTTTGTCTGGCTGTCACACCTCTCCCAACAAGGTCCAGAATCGTCTCGAAGGATGCTGAGAGTTTTCTTCCATAGATGCCTGGCCTGCAGGCCTGCAGTTGGCCAGAGAAGGATGCGAGGTAGCGGAATGGGGAGGTTGGAGCTTGTCCCCCTCTGGCCTCGGGGCAGGTGCTAAGAGACGGGGCAGGAGGGGAGGTGGGAGGTGACATTTCCCAATGCGGAGGAGGCCCCTGGGTTAGAGGTCATCAGGAAACGCGGCCAGCATCGTCAGGGCTCTGGGGGTGCGACCACCTCTCTCGCTCCCCAATCACCAACTGGGGGCCCCACGGTCCGAGCCCGGCGTGGCCGGCAGAGGGAGGGCTGGCAGTCGGCTGTCCCGGCTGCTCTGGGCTCCCCTGTGCTGCCGCTCAGCCCTAGACGATCCCGCGGTGACCCAGAAAGGCGGGACCGGGCCTCCTTCTTGGGCCTCCCCAGATTACTTTGGCCACGAGCTCCTGGGCCCACCATGGCGCTGCTGCCTGCCCGGGGACCCCTTCCGTCTCTGGCTGTCCTTGTTGGCAGCCTGGGGGCCACCACTGCGGATGCTCAGCCAGCCCGGCCTGGAGGGCATGGCCCGAGTATGACTGGCCCCAGGCGATGCCATTGACCTTGCCCACTGGCTGACGGCCTGCTCCTGGCCCCGTGGGCGCTATTGCAGCGGAAGCCAGACCCCACTGCATTCAAGTTTAGGTTCAAGTTCAAGTTCAGGTGTAGCATTTCCTTAACAGGGATCTGGCTTGCCTCAGTGCTGCCCGCAGGGGCTGGGGACACAGCCGGGAGTTCTGCGCATCCCCACATACGTGTGTCCCCCACCCTGCTGTGGGCACCTTCTCACGCTGGCCTCCCAGGGCTGTCCCTCCTGGCTCTCAGGCTTCACTTTGGACCCTTTCCCTAGGGGGCCCGGGCTCA